GGGGGGGGGGGAGAGGGAGGAACATCTATGTGAGACAGACACATCAAGGGTGTGTGCCCTTGACCAGAAATGGAACCAGGGACCCTCCGATGTACAGGCTGACGCTCTACCCACTTAGGGCCACTCTATTGCTTTTAAACTATTGTACTTATATTTTCAAGTTCCTGTTTTGAGGGGTAACGATTCTACGTTAAACCCTTTCCAGTTTTCAGCCATTAACGACAAGCAAGTTACTGGAGAATTCTGGAATCCTAAGGACTTTCGAGATGGCGGTTCTTGAAATTCTCAGTGACATGTCTGTAAGCGAGGCCACCACCCGATCTATCCTGGGAACCTGCTGCTACAAGAATCGCCGGGTGTTGGAAGAGGCGGCCGGCGCCGCTGGCTACCTGCCTGCATCTCCCCCACCGGCCCTGGCAGGGTGCGGGTGCGAGTGAGGCACTCACCTCTAGGAATCGCACTGGCGTTCACCCCTGGGCACCCTAAGCGCAGCAGCTGAGCATCAGACAGAATGATCTGATGTCCCTGGCAGAGTCACTGCAGCCTAAGCAGGGTTTAGTGCAATACTTTAGGACTCGACAGATGAAAAAGATGTTTCCTTTCTCCAAAACGTTCAGTCGTTCCAAAGTAGGGCCTGCAAACGCACATTCCCTCAAGGCCCAGGTGAGCAGCTCAGCCGTGGTAACGCTTGTTCAGTGCCTTGTGCTATGCTCTGTGCTTGCCTGGATTTAATCCTACCCCGTGAGGCAGGGCCTACTGCCACTCTACCAGTGGTGAAACTGAAGCTCGAAGATGGAAGGAGCAGAACTAAGGTTGCAGACCTACTAAGTGACGAAACCAGAATTCGGAACAATGAAGTCTATCTCTTGAGCCTCATGTGCTTCATCACTGAGTAACTGTCTCTAATAGGCAAGAAAACTATGCTAGCTTATAGAATTAGACAATGAAAACCGATGGGCACTACAGTGAACAGGAAAGTATAAGATTTCTTTAAAAACATTAAATCTTTTTTTTTTTTTTTTTTTTTTTTGCTGCTGCTGCAAGACATGTCTATGGCCCAAAATGGTCTGAAGGCTGCCACTTTGTCACCTCTGTAAAATGGAGACTAAAATGACATTTCCGGGCTGCCAGGCTCCTGTGTCTACGCACTCATCAAACCTCATCTTTCATTCCGCAGAAGCTCCATATGTCAGTCAATCTCAGTGCTCACTACTTAACAGGGTTTCCAGAAAGCGCCTTCCTCGCTCATAATGCCCCTGCTGTCTAAGAGATCGTTCCTATAGGTCTTCAACTTTCCTAAAATCACACACTCTCACAGCCAACTCTCCCAGCCACCCCTCCCTGGTCGGAGGGACTTAGTCTCTCCCAATATAGTTCTTTAAT